ATAAGATAGAGATGACATAATACTGCCGTTATGGAATAAAGAACCATACAGTGTCTTTCTTAGTAGTGCTAAGGCAAACATTGTTATTTGAAGAAACCTACTAATCCTACAGAAACCTACTAACCCTAAACCAAGGAACTAGTGTGGCGTGTAATTTGACCCACATATGCTTGCGCTACAAACAAAAATGCTACCTCGAATAGCTGATGCTACTTGAGAAAAGGAATGCTATTACATTCAAAGTGTTCAGACGTATAATTTTGGCATGGTGTACGATAAACAAAAGAGCAAAAAAAGTCCACTAGATAAACACTGCAGGAGAGACAAGGCCTTATCTCAGGACCACTTAAACACAGGCTCATTTGAGTTAGCAACCAAAGCCCTAGCAAACCCACAATATGTGCTAAAAACAGAGAACACATTATAAATTGCATGTACTGTAGCAATCAAAGACAACACTCTAACAATCTATATCTGCAATAGACTACAGCAGATGATTTTGCTAAACTAACACAAGACGAGGTCGTTAGCTAATGCAATTGCTATAGCAATTTCCCACAACACCCTAGCAATGTGCTTAAAAAACCTCTTAGAACACTGTATAAATTGCTTAGCAATGCCCCGGCAACCACCCACAACACCAGTCACCTAGTAAGCAAACATCTAGTAACTAACCCATGACAGCACGTTTTGACAGAAAGTACTAGCTATTCATAGTTTCTTTTGAAATATAAAAACATCAATTTTGTCACACCAGAAGCAGAATACTTGAGAGGCTGACTGCCCATTAGGCAACCCCATTGTTAATATCCGAAGCCCCTAAGCATCTATTAGTTCACACACAAGCTTTACATTGACATTAGCCCTAGTACACACTCACACACACACAAACAAAGCCCACCATATCGCCACTTCTCTCCCTTTGATCACCCACAAATAAATTACAGCCATCACAGCGATATGCAAAATGGCATGGAGTGACAATCAAAGCCTGACTAACAAGCTTTTAAGGACCGTGCTAAAGTTTCATAATCGCACACTAATAAGATTATACAAACTCGCCCATTTAGCCACCTGTGTATGAAAAAAGAAAAGGAGAAAAAGAAAACCAAACAACTAGATGCGTTCTGATCTCTATGAATGTGTGTTCAAGGAAGCCACTGTGAGAAAGCTTTTACTTTACCTTTATAAGCAACCATAAATATCACTAATTGCAATCCCACCCCCAACCCAAAACTGTCCACCAAAAGCATCTACCACTCTTTAATCAATAACCTCATTGTCTGTCTATTGTCTAGATGAAAGATCCAATAAGATGCTCAATTCAAAATGCATTATCCAATCAAAAACTTGCCATTCCTCCAATCCAAATGAGAGCCTGTGCACACAGAGGATCAAGATATAAAAGTGGTAGTGGCGATCTGAAAGCAAGAAGCCAATAATTTGACAATATATTGAAAACTATTACATCCTCCTTGTTTTCTATTCATTTTTCTAAATCAAATACAGTGTGATTAAAAGGTCTGAGAACCTTTTTCTAATGTAATCTTTTTTTTTTTTAATGATTAAATTATCCTATCAGCAACAAAACTGAGCGAAAAAAAATTGAACAATTTTCAATTTGTTCTCAGTCTTATAGACCTACACCTTTTGTGTGAAGCCAGAAGCCACCTTTTGGTTTCATTGCAAACAATGGAGCTACTAATTTACAAAATGCATGTGCTGGGATTTGTTATCGATTTTCTATAGCAGAAAACTGCACATATAACACTGCACATGTTCTCTATAGACAAAAGGGACATAAGGAATGTGCAAATGACGTATTATGAGTGAGAAGCATAAGCATTGCATTCAACTTGTCTGAATGTAATGTCTGAGCTAAGCTAGCACCTTTTGGTTTGCTGACACAAATCTTAAATATTTTGCTAGCTACTTCACTGCAGGTTGATTATTGTTCTAATTTGTGCGTAACAATATTTGCCACTAATAGCTACAAAAACGGAAGATGATCTAAAAGGAAGCAAAGAAGTAATTCTGATATGTAGACCTCAGGCAAAACAAAAATTAGCATTAGTGATGAAGACACCAGTCTGGCTGGTCTTAGGTGGCTGAGAAAACATGATGTGAAGAATTAGCAAATGTTTGTCATGATCTACTACATTCAAAGAAATGAAACCAGCATTTATGTGAGGTCAAGCACATAGAGTAAGTGCATTAAAATACAAAAAGCAAGACAGATTTTGGTGCTACCATTAAACTGAACATCAATAGCATATTTAGAAGGGGGGAAATTACAAATTAGCATATTTCTCTTTTTCATAGTCTCCATCCATTCTCTTTCATAATACCGTTCTCTCATTTAGTCTTTGATTTCTTTTACACCTTTTCCATAATTCACACCATCTTTTACCTAGGGTCTACCTTCATTCTGCTTTCTTTATTTCTCTCTTTTTCTTTCTCTCTACCTTGTTTCGCTCCTCTGCTGCATTTTCCTCAGGCTGCAAAAGAACCAACCATCATAAATCTACCCCTTTATTGCTTCTGAGGAGAGAGAACGAGGGAAGGAGGGAAGGGAGGGGGACATGGGAGCTGCAGGAGAAGAAAAGAGGAGAAGGGGTGGAGGAATATCTAATCTCAGAGCAAGAACTCAGAACCCAATGAACAGATGGATAAAATGAAAGGAGGAGAGAGAGGGAGCCTGGGAGGGGCTGAGGATGTCACCATTAATGAGAATAATTTACAGTTCAGAAGCTAGCAGACTCGAGACCTCTTCAGTAACTGAGACCACCACCAGCACCCTTCCAATTACAAAAGGCATTCTAGCACTCTTGGCTGACTTTTTCATGTAAACCGTAGTCTAACTAAGGAATTGTGTTAGATAATCACGCAACAAATAGTAACATATTTCACACTTCTCTTTCTTTGTGGACTGAAGGCCAGTGGTTACAACCACTGAGCAAATGGCAGTGACATTTAAGTGAACCGTAATGAATTTGAAAATCCTGTCCAAGTAAATTTGAAAATCCTATCAATTCCTGACACTGAAAGAAGAGCTTCTCTCTTCTTTTTGTGTTGCCATTTGCTCTTTATTCCAAGGATAGGATGAGGGAAAGGGATTTTGGCGGGCACAGGGACATCGGAGGTTGGCGCATAGGCATAAATATATTGTAGTGTGTCGATTTCCTATTCCAAGAGCTAGCTGTTGCTCAGGGCAACAGGAACCATTACTGTCCCACTGCATAACACAGACATAAAATCCAAAGTTATGGGTGAGGACTTATCGGTTGGACTCTTAGAGTGTCTCTAGGCAAACTGCCCAATGCTGAAGCTTTATCTACATGATTAAGAATTAGCTTTTAGTCTTACATAATTTTGTCTAAAATTGCACAAATTTAGCATCTTATATCTTATAAAGTCCGTCTAATTGGCATATTAAAGCAACCAATCACAAGCCTGATGTTTTGAGGTGGGTTTATCTGAAGTAAATTACACCACAATAATAGAATGATAAAAAAAAAAAACTAAATAAAAAATACAAAAAATATAATAACGGTGCAGCAGTCTCCATCAAGGACTGTATAGAAAACACACACACAAAATAAATACACCATTGTCCTTGTCCCAAGCACAGACTAACAAATAGGGATGCACCGAAATGAAAATTCTTGGCCGAAGCCGAATACCGAACACAGTTTTTCACATTTTTCCCCCCTGTAGGCCTATTTAACCATTTTTTTTCACCATTGCATTAATTAAATTGCCAAAATGTGCTTATTACAGTTTTGTCCTGCTTTTCAAATAAAAAATCAATTAAAAAACAACAATTTAAAAATATTTACTTAACACTGAACATTTTTTTAACATTCTAGCAGACATTATACCAACAAAGCACAATTTAACTTAAAATTAATAAGTTAGTAAAATAATATTTTTTGGCCATTTTTGAGACTTGAATCAGGCATGTATTTTTTACTGTACAAATAAAGGCAGCCTTACTGAGCAGAAGAGAATTCTTTTAAAACATTAGAATATATTACAGATCCCAATTTGAACACTATGTGTGAATGTTATAATAAATGTATTAATAGAGCTGTTGTAGGGTAATTATTATTATCATTATTATTGTCTTACATTTTTATTTTATTTTACAGAACGACAGTAAAATTACAATATTATCATTTATGAATGTCGATGGAGTTGTTGCTTTTGCTCTGCTTTTATTTTGGCAGAAACCCGCAGGAAGATCTCAGTGCTTCTTTTTGTTGACAACAGCATGCAGATTTATAAATTATTCTCATTACGAATTTGGGAAGATGTTTGTCGCACGTATCACATTGTCCCATGCCTTTAAAAAAATTCACAAAAATGTTACTGAGCAACTGACGAGTAACAAGTTCAGCACAGATTTTTTCCTAGTGCTTTGGACTTTGAACCCTGGCGCCGCAAGCTCGTGCAGCGCCATCAGAATACATGCAATTCGTGCGTGCATTAGAAAATATAACATTCTGCAGTTTATTTACTAATCGTTTGAGGTAATTTCGCGATTTCAATCATCATACAGTAACCACCAGCATTAGCCACCTCATCTTCTCATCAGAGACATGTGATGCAGCACTAAACAGTCTCTCGCTGTCGGTGCTTCGTGCTTGTAATGTTTTCTGCGTCTTTCTCTGATAGTTTTAAATACTTTCACACTGCCAATGTTTGCTGCATTAGCGCATGCTCTATTTAATCGCGTTCGCTATTGTTCGGTACATATTATTTCGGTTGCCGAATATTCGGTGCATCCCTACTAACAAAGATATAGTATACCAAGATTTGTTGACACAACTCTAAAGCGGACACCTCACTGTAACAACAACCATCTGAACACAAAAATCTCAAAGATTAGCTTATAAACATCCAATTTACAACTGCTACCATGGTGCATGAAATATTCCATTCAAATATTGATATTTAGCTCTCCATAACATAGCATGAATAAAAATCAAGGATCTTACCTGTATATGCTGCTGTATTGAGCCATATGGCATGCCTTGACTCAGCATTTTTTTATTCATCATCATCATCCTCTTCTGTTCTTCATTTAAATGGGCTGACTGGTTGGGCATTGGACCTGGAGCTTGTGGTGGCCCACCCCCTTGCCCTGCGGTGCCCTGCAAGTAGGGCATCATCGGGTTTTTGGCTTGATTGGCCATGGGCGGTGTTATCCGCTGACTCATGTGGTCTACTCCACTGAAATGAGTCAGTGGCTTGGTGTTGCTATAAGAGAGCTGCTTATTGAGGTTGTTTTGGGCAACCAAGTTATTAGGTTGCTGCTGCTGCTGTTGCTGGTTGAGCATGTTCATGTGGTTCTGTGGGAGGTAGTTGTTCATGCTTGGTGTTTTTGGCCCCATTGTGTTGCTAGCATTAAAAGCCTGCGTATACATCAACGGGCTATTTGGTTTGTCTGGGTTAAAGGGTCCACTGTATGGGCTTGTTGGTGCTCCTGCAGGTGACCAGTTTGCTCCCTGGGACTGCTGTTGGTGTTTTTGTTGGATGAGTTTGGCACGTTGCTGCTGCTGGGCAGCCATTTGCTTCAGCTGCTCAGCCGGTGAAAGTTCAGAGGAGGGCGGGACTGGTACACCTCCACCTGTTCCCCCTGATCCAGGACCACCTCCTGTTACTGGAGTTGATGCCACGGGGCCAACGGCAGGACCTGCATTCATCATATATCCATTCCCGGGCCTTGAGGCCTGGGTCTGCGCTTGGGTGGGCGTTTGCGGAGAACGAGCCACGCAGTTAGCAGGCGATCCTGATGGCATTCCAACTGCTGGTGACTGCTGCAAGGGTTGCTGGGGCGGTGTCCCATTGGCAGCCGTTGCAAATGGGGGACCAGAGGAAGATGGTCTCACCTGAGGTGACCCCATGGGCATCTGTCCACTCTGCGGTTGCGGTGTACTGTTGGGTGCCGTGGCTACAGAGTTAGGTGCTGGGTCTTGTGCAAGCTGCATTTGTTCCGTTGTGGCCCGTGTGAAGTCACTCACCTCCTTTTTCTCCTCAAAGTCCTCGTTGAAGAGGTCGTGCATGTCATCCTCAGGCACCGTGTTCGCCAGCTCATCAATAAGTTCCTGCCATTCCTGGTCGTTCAGATTGATGTCAGAGAATAGCTTGTTCTGATTTGAAAGTGACGTTTCCGAGGAATCAATTCCACCACCATCGTCCAAAGGCTCTTGTTTCATGTCCTTTAGTAGGCTAAAGCCATCTTCCAACTCCAATGAACCATTCAGTTTAATATCAGGCATTCCACCATTTTTGCCTAAATCCTCAGGTCGTCCAGTAATATGGTTTGTACCAGCATTGCCGTTGCCGGTTCCGTTGTTTGAGGAGGCACTGTTGTTGCCCAAGGGCAAGGTGGGTTTGATGTCCATCGTATGAAGTGGGGAAATGGGTGGGAGGCTACCAATAGAGTCCATTCCAGTGCATCCTTCCTTACGGAGTCTCTTTATAGTGGGAGAGTAACTCCCATCACTGAGACCGTTTTGGTCACCATTTAAAGGAGACCGGGCACTGTCCAATTTCCTCTTTACTGTCTCCTGGAGCTGAGAGAAATTAAAACAGAGAACAATGGTTAGAAGGGTCTCTTAGCTCCATATAAAAACATATAAACAACAACACACTTTCAGAACACTGTTGTCCTACATTCACAATGTCTTGTAATGTTACCCAGTGAAGCGGTTTCTCAGTGTATAAATAGTAGGGCTGTGACGGTCGCCGTGACAACCGCGTCACGGTTGTCTACTGCCACCGGCGGTAGTGCACGTGACGTCTCTATAACTCTCTATAACAAGCATAATACGAAGTTTTGTATACAAGTGTAATAACAGTAATAACAGTAGCGGAACACTGAACCATGTCTACACCGGACGCGACACCGCCGCGTCGCAACAGGTTGAGTCTGTCTAGTGTCTACACGGGACATTTGAACTCGGTGTCAGTACCTCATAAATAGAACGAGGCAGTTTACTGTCGGGGTATTGTCATGTCGTGTCGTGCCGCATCCAGTGTAGCATCACTGATTATAATCAGTTTTATAGTATTTTGTCGTGCCGCATCCTGTAGACAGGGTGTATTTAACTTTCTTATTTAGGCTACTTTCTTGTTTAACTGTATTATTTCTTTGATATTTATTTTAGTGTTTTGCAGGCTGCGTATTCACTGACTGAAGTGACATAAACACGAGCTGACGAGTTAAAGGGGTAATATGATGCTATTTTAAAGATCATTATTTTGTGTATTTGGTGTAACAGAATATGTTGACATGCTTTAATGTTCAAAAAACACATTATTTTTCAAATACTGTACATTATTGTAGGTCCTCTATGCCCCGCCTTTCTGAAACGCGTCGTTTTCAACAAAGCCCCCTCCTTTGACGAGCGCAGTCTGCTCTGATTGGCCAGCTGACCCAGTGCATTGTGATTTGCAATTGAAGAGCACGCGCTGCGAGCACAGTACCGTTTCCGTACTCGTTTGACTCGCGCCTGCCCTGGCGCTGTGGGGAAGTGGAGTGCGCGTCTGAAACGGCTCCAGTTCTCAGTCGTTCTGCGACTGAATAAATGCACTTCTTGTCAAGAGAAAAAGTGACAGAAGCAGCAGTTGTGAGTGGGGTGGCCAACCCTAGCCCCGCCCCTGCGTTAAATATTTTTTAATTAAACTGAAAAAATTAATCGCCTGCGCTAACGCGCTAATTCTGACACCACTAAAATATATATATATATATATCAACACCACGCCACCGGTAAAAATCTGCCACCGTCACAGCCCTAATAAATAGTCAGACATGGTATTATTCAAATAATTATTTACATTTCAGAGCAGAAGCACGTCAGAGTGGTTTCTAGTCCAGAATGCCAAAATTTACATAGGTAATATATTCTCGCTATCAAAACATTTCACAATAGCTAAACTTTTGCGCCAATGATCAATGTCATTGTGGTTACGTGTACATGTATTCAATATTCTCATGATATTTACTTAAAGTGCCTTGTTCTTTTTGTTTATCTTAGTGTACAGAAGATCTTTCACTGAGGTGTTCTCTTGACGTCAAATGAGGGCAGGTATTTTGATCAACGCAAACTGCCCACACTTAATTCCAGTGTTGGTTTTCCATTATTTGTGCAGGTGTTTGAGTTTAAACAGAGACCTCATGAGGCAATAGGCTAATTTAAAAAAAGAAGACAAGAAGGTCCTTCAATTTGCCACTATGTAAAGACTTAATAGCTATATGCAGATCAAACTCAGTCTTATAAATTTTACAATAGGAAGGTGTTAACGATTGCCAATGAGTTAGAACCAATAAGTGATGTCAAACAGGTTGTAACTTCTAAATTTTTAGCAATGCTGTTCATGGATAAATTAGACTAACTTCTCAAAGGTAGTTTTAGTGTGCTCATCCAGCAGCTTGGTAAAAATTAAATTTTTAAAAACTGGATATTTTTTAAACACAAAAACACTTTCTATCTGACTGTCAGACAGGTTCTCATGAACTCTTAACCAGCTTAATTTTGCAAGGTTTCCTTAAAGGCAGGTAACACTTTAGAAAACTGATTCGGGCCGAATAGCAAAACAAACTTGTAGCCAATCAGCAATAAGGGGCGTGTCTACTCGTGATGTGGAGGAGAGAGCTTTCAGTGCATGGGATGGACATTAGCCGAGCCGAGCGGCAGAAAGATAGAGATGGCGGATAAAAAAACAAAAGAGGAAAACGTCTGCGGAAAGATAAGGCAAGAAGTAGGACCCGTGTAAAATATTGGATCAGCTTTCCAGTGCTGGAGAGAACTCAAGGAGCGGAGGCCTGCGATCGGACGCCGGCCGCTCACGTCCGTAGACATGGTGTAACATTGGTTTTGCTTTGTTTCACAGAACTAATCGTTGCCTGGGTTGCGTACGTATATGTGGGGCGGAGCTATCAAAATAGGGGCAAGACCCTTTTGGGGTAGGGGCGTGTTTGTTTTGGTGATTTCAAATATCAACATTGGCTACCAGAAATCACTTACTCTGCCTTTAAAACTGACTAGTGAGCTAGTTATTCAACCCATTGGCTCGTACGTTTTGTAATATGTAGTTTTGCACATCACTGTTTTACTAACACTGCACATATAGACAAAATATTCATTCTTACTGCACAGAGAATTACTGATAGGAGGGAAAAGGTGACAAGCATCAACTATCACTTCACAATTACATAGAGAGAAGAGAGAGAGAGAGAGAATCGGTTGCAAAATAAACTGAGTTTCACAGTTGACACATAGGCACACTTTTATCCCACAATGCTCTTCTGCTTAATTTGTCTCAGCCATTTAGCTGTATCTAAGCTGCTCAACAAGCATGCTAGACAGTAACACACATGTAAATGCCAACAGAGGTTAGGGACGGGAGACAAACCTTAAAAATGTCACTATTGCCTTAAATAGCATTACATATTGGCACAATAAACCACAAATAAGGAGGGAACTGCAATCAGTCGTTATGAGAGTTTAAGTATTCCTCCAGTTAGTCCACAAATGTTTCTTTTAACATTCAGTTGTGCCACTTTGCAGACGGTCCCTTCCCTCTCACTACTGCAGGGCAGTGCGGTGGAGAATGAACAGCGGCAAATATTGACGGGGAAAGAGTGATAGACGCCTCCTCAGAGGTGAGGATAGAAAAGAAGGTGAAAAGCATTTCCCATCATCTCTTCTCATCTTCCTGCTTGTGCTAATGACTCTCACAGTGAACACATTTAACGGTGTGTTAATTACAGAAGTGAAATGTGTGCGTAAACCCAGAGATGTAGATGAACTGCAAGAACATTAGCGACAAATTCTCCCCATACACAACAGCAGGATCCCACCCACCTTCTTTGCTTATCCCAGTGGACTTCAGTGTGTGTGTGCGCATGTTAGAAATCTCTCTCTCTCTCTCTCACACACACACACACACCACTCTACTGAAACATGCGAAATGAGATTCTGAAACAACAAGATTCATGGATCTTCTCTCCAGCTCTTCTCTGAGGCAATACGTCTAAGTCCCCCTCCCTCCTTCTATCTCTTTCTCTCAGTCTGTCTCTCCCTACATGACCAGAAGAACAGCGAGATCATGATGGGAAACAAGAAAGGCTGATGTTCACTGGCTAGCTTTATGTAAAAGAAGGAGATAAGCGTGATAAAATAAGACATGCACACACATACAAAACACGTTCGGTTGCATTCTGCCTCTATAAGACTTTAACACCATCTGGCTATGCTTAACAGACATTAGTCGTGCAGCATGTACTGGAAGCTATACTGTAGCAAGCTCAAATATGACCCACGTATTCATGATAACTGTATAGGTCTGCGTGGGGTTGGATCTTTCATTGTTACACCGCTGTCGTGTGCAACAGCTCAGGGGGTTGTCAAGGCAACCGTTGTCACGACGGCTGTCAATATTCATGCCGTTTATCATGCCATAAAGACGATTAGAATGACTGTCACTCACATGGAGAGAGTGAGTGATGAGGAGAGAGACAGAGAGAGAAAGAAATCAAGGCAGAAATCGAGAACAATGTGGCTCACACAAAACCGCTGCATTCATACACTAATATTTATGAAGCCTATATGAACAGGTAACCAAAGTCAATCGCCTTCACTTGTAAAGCCTAACAATAGATTGGGGTGTCATGCACTTGTTTTAAATGACACCAGTGGCAAATCAATGTATAATAATACATAAAAATAAAAATAAATATATAATAAATACAAATGAAATAATATAATAAAAATAGGAATCTCTTTATATAATATTGTCATTATTAGTCTTATAATTAAATATTAATATTACAACTAATATATACGTTTTTATGGTTGTTTTTGTCATCATAAATTATATTGTGTCATGCACCCATTTAAATAAAACCACTAAATAAAAATAGTAATATAAAAAATAAGTATATATAATATACAATCATTTTTATTATTGACGTTATATTATTATTCACTATAGGTGGATTTTATGGTTATTTTGTCACTCCATTCTAAATTCTTTTACCATATTTACCACTAAAAACAGTACTGACAAACACATTCTGTTGTACGAATGTATCCTCTCAATGCCTTATAAATTTGTTGATGACTTCGCTAAGCATTTTTTCACTGCACTCCTGCACCCTATCGGTCCATGTGTGATGAATCCTCTCAGAGTGGCACATGATTGATATCAATAATGATCATCTTCCGGCAAAGACTCTGCATGCTAAGTGAGGCGTAATTAGGTATGTTGAGCACCAACCCCCTCTAGCAGACATCTTCACTGACGTTTGGGGTCGAGAGGTACGGTACGGATGGCCTAACTAGCGACGCCATAAGCCGCAGACAGAGACCCTATCTAGCTAGCAGCATTTGGCTCAAAACCGCCATAATAAGATAAGAACGGTGAGAAAACCTCCCCCAAGCCTTAACTAGCATGGCAGGGTTAAGAAAACACGCAGCAGAGGTAGAGACAGGAAGAGAGAGAAAGTCTGCTTGTGTGTGTGTGTAGCAGGGGGAGGCTGATGTTTGTTTTTCTCCATTTCACTGCCTAT